GTAGTGCACGTCGCTACAGTGTGCTTAGATGATATTGAGGCCATTTCACGTTTTGGTGATTGCTTCATTTCCATCGCTTTTTGCCGATGTTGGAGAGTTCTCTCATGAAGGGTGTGTCCTGGTGTGTCTTGCTTAGCATCCAAATCTCTGCCTTTTTCTGTTTTGTTTGGCAATTTATTGCAAGTTGCGTGTACGCTGACACGGTTTTCAGCAAAATGTCATTACATTGGATGCTTAGAACTTTGTTGTCACGAAAATCATACGGGTTATATACGGGGTCTGAATTACTGTTAAGATTTGGATTAAGGTTAGGTCCACGCTTCAGGATTGCGACTTGAAATCACGCTTACTGCTTGTGGTTTGGGGATTTAGCACCAGTGGTAGTTCGCTGCTGTTCACTCACTCGGATAAGTGTCTCCTCCTTTAACCGTTAACTGCCTTCTTCATTTTAAGTTGTTTTAATATTCCAAAAGAAAGCGCCCTCCTCCTCGTAAGACTTATCTTGATGTGACCAGTTAGCAGGCCACCACGTCCTTCCCTGTTCGTAGTACGTATGCATGAGACCCTATTGGATGACAGGTCACCATTGAAGTGAGTCATCGCGTCTAGACGTCAGATAGTATTGCCGGCAAAGATACGGGAGGCTGGAATGGCTATTTCTGGCTCATTAGCCATTGCCAGCCAGTCATACCCAGACCCAAGTGGTATCCCACCCGAACCTCGACCTCGCGACCTTTTTGATCAGAGTCAAACGCCCTAACCATTGAGCCACGAGCTCGTTGTCTCGCCGATTTAGGTCAGGGGATGTCAACACTCGTTGATAAACGTTAGGGCGTTTGACTCTGACCAGAAGGTCGCGAGTTCGAGGCTCAGGTGGGGCACCACTTGGTCCTGGGTATGACTGGCTGGCGACGGCTAATAAGCCAAAAGTTGTCATATCAGTCTCTCTTGTCTTTGCCAACAATACTATCTACCCAATGCTACCAGCTGTTAGGGCTGTCAGGGTCTCTGTCTAGGCCCAAGGTAGAGCGGGACAGATGAGTTCCGTCAGCAGTCAGGTGAACGTTCAGCAACGAGCGTCTAGACGTCTCAGTCGAGACGGGACCCGAACATGCCAACTTTTCGTGCCCCAGTGTCTCAATTCACTAGACTGTAAGTCCTAATTCCGGTTAACTATTTCGCAATAGACAGATCTGTTATTCGAGCAGTTGAAGGCTTGTAAGAAGTTATACGACCACTGCTAACAGCTTTGCGCGAATGTGCATTTTGGTTAGCATATGTATGCCCATTAAGATTGTACATGTAAAGGAA